TGGGTAATTTTTATTATTTTCTTACTTCTGACAGCTTTGGGTTTAGTTTTTTCTTCTTTTTCAAATTCCTCAGAGTGTGAAGTTAGGTTATTGAGTTGAGATCTCTCTTCTTTTTTTAATGTAGGTATTTATAGCTATAAATTTCCCACTGAGTACTGCCTTCACTGTATCCCATAAATTTGGTATGTTGTGCTTTTGTTTTCATGGTTTTTTAAAAAATTTTCATTGTATTTTTTTTCTTTGACCTGTTGGTTGTTTAAGACTGTTGTTTAAATTCTACGTATTTGTGGATTTTCCAGTTTTCCTTCTGTTACTGATTTCTAGCTTCATTCCATACGGTTGGAGAAGATACTTTGCATAATTTCCATCTTTTTAAATTTATTGTTACTTGTTTTTGTGCTCTAGCATATGGTCTTTCCTGGAGAATGATCCATGTGCACTTGAGAAAAATGTGTGTTCTGCTGTTATTGACTAGAATGTTCGGTATATGTTTATTAAGTCTAGTTGGTCTGTAGTGTTGTTCAAGTTTTCTATTTCCTTATTGATCTTCTGTCTAGATGTCCTATCCATTACTCAAACTGGTGTATTGAAGGCTCCAACTATTATAGTAGAAGTGTTTTTCCATTCAATTCTGTCAATGTTTGTTTCATACATTTTGAGGCTGTTAGGTGCATATGTGTTTATACTTGTTATATCTTCTTGATGAATTAACCCTCTTATCATTATAAAATGTCCTTTGTCTTTTGTAATAGTTTTTGACTTAATATCTATTTTTTCTGACAGTAGTATAGCCATTCCAGCTCTCTTTGGTTATTATTTGCATAGAATTATCTTTTTCCATCCTGTCACTTTCATTTTATTGTGTCTTCTGATTTAAATGAGTCTGTTGTAGACAGCATATGGTTGGATCATGTTTTTAAATCCATTTTGCCAGTTTCTGCCTTTTGATTAGAGAGTTTAATCCACTCAGATTTAAAGCAATTACTGATAATATAGGATTTACTTCTGCCATTTTGCTGTTTTCTGTATGCTTCATACCCTTTTTGTCCCTCATTTATTTCTTTACTGCCTTCTTTTGTGTTTAGTTTATATTTTTGTAATGAACGTTTTTATCCCTTCTGTGTGTATGTTTTTTTAGATATTTTCCTTGTGGTTATCATAAGCATTACATTTAATATCCTAAGCTGTAACAATCTAGTTTGAATTGATACCAGTTAACTTCAGTAACATATAAAAATTCTGTTCCTATACAGCTCTGTCCCCCCCTTTTTATGTTGTTGTTGTTATTGCAGATTACATCTTTATACATTGTGCATGCAACAACATAGGAAACAAAATAATTATTTTTTACGCATTTGTCTTTTAAATCATGTAGGAAATAAAAACTGGTGTCACAAAGCAAAAATGCAAAAATTTGCCCACGTAGTTTTCTTTACCAGTGATCTTTATTTCTTCATACAGCTTCAAGTTACTCTTTTTTGTTTTTTTTCCATCTAAAGGGCTCCCTTTAGCATTTCTCATAGGGCATGTCTTGTGGTAACAAACTCCCTCAGCTTTTGTTTATTTGGGAAGGTCTTAATTTCTCTCTGATTTTTTAATGGACAGTTTTGCTGGATATTGAAATCTCAGTTTATAGGTTTTTTGTTTTGGGTTTTTTTCCCCCGCTTTCAGCTCATTAACTATGTCATACCACAACCTTCTGTCCTGCGTGGTCTCTGCTTAGAAACTGGTTGTTGATCTTATTCAAGATTCCCTGTGTGTGATGAGACAATTTTCTCTTGCTGTTTTCAAGATTCTATGTTTTTGGTTTTCAGTAGTTTCATTATAATGTGTATCTGTGTGGATCTCTGTTTATCCTGCTTGGAGTTCACTGAGCTTCTTGGATGTTCATGTTTTAAAATATTCATGTAGATTGATGTTTTTCATCAAGTTTGGCAAGTTTTTGGCCATTATTTCTTAAAATATTGTATCTGCCCGCCCCCCTCCCCCCGCCAGAACTCCCATAATGTGTATCAGCCCTCTTAGTGATGTCCCACAGATCCCTTAGGTGCTGTTTACTTATCTTCATTCTCCTTTTGTTCTGCTTCTCAGAGTGGATATTTCATTTGTCCTGCCTTTGAGTTCACTGATTCTTTCTTCTCCCTGCTCAGATCTGTTGTTGAACCTCTCTAGTGAAATTTTCATTTCAGTTGGTGTACTTTTCAGCTCCAGAAATTCTGTTTGGTTCCTTTTTTATGATTTCTCTCTCTTTATTAATATTCTCATTTTTTTCCTGATATACTTTAGTTTTTTTCTCATGTTTCCTTCTAGCTCTTTGAGCATATTTCAGATAGTTTTTTTTAAAAATCTTTGTCTAATAAGCCTTATATTTGGGCTTTCTGAGGCATAGTTTCTGTCCATTTATTTTGTTCCTTTGACTGGACTGGACTTTTCTGTTTGTCTGCCTTGTGATTTTTTTGTTGAAAACTGGCCATTTGAATATTATAATGAGGCAGTTTTGGAATCACATTCTCTCCTTTCCCCAGAGTTTGTTGTTTTTGTGATTGCTGAAGGCCCTAGTAGTCCATTTGTTCAGTGAATTTTCCAAAGTATTTTCACAAAGATTATATTCCTTGTCACGTCTGTTCACCGAAATCTGTTCCTTGTGTTCAGCTAGTGTTTTGACAAATATTTTCTTGAACACGAGGAGATGAAAAAAGAAGAAAGAAAGGTTTAAAAAAAAAAACACCTTTCCCGGTCTTTGCAGATTGGCTTTGTGCTCAGACTCTCTTTTAACACTTAGCCAAACGTACACTGAGCCCAGGAATCAACCTGAGGTGAAAGCTTAGGGTCTTCTCCAGTCTTTTCTGAGCATGCATCCTGCCCTGGAGATGTATGTGGATTTCAAAATTCCCCCATACACACAGGTGTTTTTTTTTTTTAAATTGTACTTTAGATGAAGATTTACAGAACAAACTAGCTTCTCATTAAACAGTTAGTACACATATTGTTTTGTGACATTGGTTACCATCCGTGACGTGTCAACACTCTCCCTTCTTGACCTTGGGTTCCCAATCATCAGCTTTCCTGTCCCCTCTTGCCTTCTAGTCCTTGCCCCTGGGCTGGTGTGCCCCTTTAGTCTCCTTTTGTTTTATGGGGCTGTCTAATCTGTAGCTGAAGGGTGAACCTCAGAAATGACTTCATTACTGAGCTAAAAGGGTGTCAGGGCCATACCCTTGGGGTTTCTTCAGTCTCTGTCAGGCCAATAAGTCTGGTCTTTTTTGTGAGTTAGAATTTTCTGTATTTTTCTCCAGCTTCGTCTAGGACCCTCTGTTGTGATCCCCACACATGTGCTTTTGAATGCTCTAATTTCCCACAGAAACTGTCCCCAGCTTTCCTCCCACACGTCACATGGTGTTCTGTATGTTATAACTGTAACCTTTTGCCCTGGGGATCTGCACTGTCCACTGCTTTTCCGGCCTGAGTGAACTTTGAGTTCAGTGAAACAGAGGCAAGCGCCTTGCTTCAGTCCTTCAGGTAGCCCCTAGACAGGTTACAGTTGACATACGCAGTGATTTGAAAATAAGGTCTGCTGTGCTCTCTCTGGAGCCAGGAACAAGGGCCCCCACACAGGGAACACAGGCAGCTGTTGAGCCTGGGAGGGGGCGGGACAAGGGTAAGTAAAAGCCTCACAAAACTCTCCGTTTTTAAGTTGGCTTTTTCTTCATTTGGCATCACTTGCTTGCCGTAAACCTTTGATTGTTTTCCAGAATTCTGACAGTTTATGCTTGTTTTTCTATATTTCTGTGGGGGGTCTGGAACTTGGAGCTGCCTACTCTACCATTTCGCTCTAGGTTTATTTTTAAAAGATTAAAAAGTGCATATGTGGGGAGGTCGGGTGTGGGGGTGTCCAAAAGGTACTAGAGGAAATCATTGAGAATCCTCCTCCTCATCCTGTCTCCTAGATACCTGGTCCAGGGCTGCAGGACAGCCATGTGACAGTAACTGGTTTCTTCCAGAGGCTTATACGATTAAAAAACTATTTTCTTTTCAATCTCTTTTTTTCCATACAGATGACAGTATTTTATACATAAAGCCCTGCAGGTTGCCTTTTCTCCTCCAAAATTCGATTTTTGAGTCCTTTTCAATTAACTATATAAAGGACTTCCTTATTTTTATAGTTGTCTGGTATTATGTGGTTGTAACATCAGTTTTTAAAATTACAATTATTTTGTGATCCATTCTGATGGTCCAAGATTCAGAATGTACAAACAGTCTCCCTGGAACGCCTAACCCAGGCTTCCTAGTTGCTCTCTTGAGGAGCCCGTGATGTTCCAGGTGTCTAGACGCCCTGTTAACTCTCATGCCCGTGGTGGCACACCGGACACACCTCTGCACAGGTGGTTTTCATTTAACAGCACACCTTGGAGGATTCCTTTTCAGTGCAGAGACAGTCCGTCGTTCTTTCTAATGGCTGCACAATCGTCAACAGGATTGTCATCTGTAGGATGTCCTGTTGTTACTTAGTTACCTGCTGATGGGCATGGAGGTTGTTTTCAATCTTTAACCACTGTCATCAATGCTGCAGTGAAGAAGCCTGTATAAACTTCATGTTGCATGTGTGCGCAATAAGTCCTAAAAGTGGAATCTCTGGATCCAAGAATAAGTGTGTTGGTAATTCTGGTGGGTACTGCCCAGTTACCTGCCATGGGAGTTATGTGGGTTTGCAGCCACCGTGTGGGAGGACCTGTTTCTCCACATCCTTGGCCACCCAGCGGAGCATCCACCGTTTGGGTTCTGCCACATCAGATGGTGCAAGGTGGATCTGAGGCTAGAAATGCTGAGACGGCTGGGGTTATGGAAGTCTGGCCCTGGGATAGAGCCGTTTGCTTCCTCCTCATCCCGTGTGCGTGTGCTGCTGACGGCTCTGCTCTCGGCTCCAGCTTGCCCCCCTCCGTGTTTGTAGCACCCTCTGCTAGCCGTCGCTGGACTGAGGCACCCCTGTTGTTCTGTGGTTTCAGAACCGGGTTTCTCCATTCAAGGACATGATCTTCTGCTTCTCTGAAGAGGACTGGTCCCTTCTAGACCCAGCCCAGACTGGCTTCTATGGAGAATTCATCATAGGGGAGGACTGTGGGGTCTCGCTGCCTCCAAGTAAGAGTTAACTCCCTCTCACCCAAGACCAGGGAGCTGGGGGAGGGGCAGGGAGGGGCTGGGAGGGCAGGGGTCTCATTACGTCTGAATAAGAGTTAACTCCTCCCCTCCCTAAGATCAGATGGGGGGCCTCTCCATCCCTCCAAGAAACAATCCCCCAAGATTAGAGAACTAGGGGGTCTCTCTCTCTCCAAATCATAGTTAACTTCTCCTTCCCAAGGTCAGGTAACTGTGAGGGTCTCCCTCCTTCTGACCAACAGTCAATCCCCCAAAGAGCTCTGGGAGGTTGGTTTCGCTGCCTCTGAGTAAGCCTAATGTCTCCTTACCCAAGTTTAGGGAACTGGGGGACTTGCTGCCTCCAAAGAAGAGTTAATATCCCCCCCGCCCTGAGATCAGGGAACTGGGGTGGGGGGTCTCTCCTTCCGAGTAACAGTTAACTCCCCTTTCCCTAGGGATGTGGGGAATCTCACTGCCTCTGAATAAGAGTTACCATATTTTTACGCAAATGACACGTGTTAACGTTTTTTTACAACCATGCAACGCCGTTACTATTTTTGTAAGCAAGTTAGGCAGTGTTTTATATGTGTTTGGGGAGCACATTATTTACGTGGGTACATTATTTGTGACAAAAATACAGTAACTCCCCCTCACCCAAGACCATGGGCCTGCCTGGGTGCCTCGTCCATAAGGTGTTCTCTATCACCCACCCCGACGGAGGTGATCTGTGCCCAGTGATCCCACAGGCACTTCGTGGACCGACCACAGCCCGCCATCTTGCCTGTCACGCTTAGATCAGGCTTACCTGAACACAAAACCAAATACAAAACGTCTCCTGTGCCTCCATGTTTCTCTTGTCGTTCCTACCCGGTAGTCCCTTTTCACATCTGGCATGATAACTAATCAGCCCTAGAGAGACGCCCCAAGCCCGCCGCGGCCCCCCAAGTCCTGCTCCACCCTTCGAGTTCTCTGCAGCTCCACGCGACCCTTTTGCCATGGTCGGCGGTGCCTCCTTCCAGCTCTGGGACCTGACGGGAAGTTGTTGCGCTGGGCCCACCCTAGGCGCCTGTGAGAGAAGATCGTTGATACGTGCGTGTCCTCCCCTTTTCTGTGAGCAGGCGACCCAGTTTCCCAGCCAGCCCTCTCCCAGGGAGAGGAGAGCGAGCCACGGGTTCCAGAGCTGCAGGACCTCCAAGGGAAAAACGTTCCCCAAGTCTCCTACCTGGGTGAGTAAGGGCCCAGAACCGGGTGGACAGGGCGGGGTCGGGGGAAGGCTGCTGCCTTGCCCGAGGCAAGCCCACTCCCTGCTCTCTCTAGCGGAGAGAAGCCCTCTAGCCGCCTGGGCTCTATCTTGATAGAACCTGTCTTGCCTTGTCCCTGACTCCTGACAGAAAGAATGTGAGGACTTCATTTTGCCAGGGGTGGGGATTTTACAGCCTCCAGTAAACCCAAAAACAAAACCTGTTGCTATCAAGTCGATTCGGACTCATGGCAACACTTAGGACAGAGTAGAACTGCTCCACAGGGTTTCCAAGGATTAGCTGGTAGATTCAAACTGCCGACCTTTTGGTTAGCTGCCAATCTCTTAACCACTGCGCCACCAGGGCTCCAAGTGGGGACGGGGAATAATAGGCATCCCTTTCTCACTTGCCTCCAGATGGCACCTAGTTTATGCCGAGGACCCAGTGGTTCCTCCATGAGTCACAACAAATACACTGAGCCATGCTGGGGGAAGGACTGCCTCCCCGACACTGAGGGCACTGCGGGGACCGTCCTGGGGTCAGGTTCTCACCCTGCACACAGGAGGTGCTGGAGCTCACCTGACCTGCACAGCCCAGCAGCCGAGGCCCAGACCTCACCTGTGGCCCTCCCTGTGACCAGAACACGTGTTTGCAGCCTCCGTGCCGTTGTGCCTTGATGTGTCTGCTTCTTCAGGGGAAATAACTTTGCACAGAATCAACAGCGTGCCCATGCCTTCGTAGGGGACGTAAAGCTGGCGTGCAGTGGACCAGGTCTCGGCACACGTCTGTGACCTGGAGCAGGACAGCTGTGTCTGACTGCTGTGCAGTGGACCAGGTCTCGGCACACGTCTGTGACCTGGAGCCTAGCGCAGTGGCTCCCGCTGCCCTCTGCCCCGGGAGGCTCCATAGGTGGTGAAAACACGGTTCAGGGGTGGTGAGGTTACCTGTCCACGGTCACAGAGGTAGACATGACAGAACCAGGATTTAGGTTTGGCTCTGTCCAGCTTAAAACCCATGTCCATGATGTCATCCTGTGAGCTTATTCGCTCGGCAAACTTGACTGAGTCATGGGCCACCAGGCACTGGGAGCACTTTTCAGCCCTCGAGTCTGCCTAGCGTCTATGAAGATGCTTCCCCTAGGTGGCACTGCCAAGTTGCAGGACAAATCGTTTTTTTTTTTTTTTTTTCATTTTTTTTCTCTGAAAAGACTTTCAGAGTCTCCAGCCGTTCCAGATAGAAGAAAGAAGAAAAAATGAGGTACAGGTGCCAGAATTCCAGACCTGCCAGCAGGTGGCGCTTTCTCCAAGCACCTACCCAGGTAGAGTGAGTGTGTTTGCGTGTAAGAGAGTGTGTGTGTGTGCGTGCGCGCGTGTTGGTGGGGATGGTGGTGGTGGTAGAGGCTGGTATGGTTAGGAATTTACGTCTCCAACAACCTAAAAACTCCCTGAAACTCACTTTGGTGGCATTACCAGCTGCCACGGTTTGTTTTGCTAGGATCTCTCCCAGCCAGCTCCCAATCGGAGACCTTTCCCTTGTACATCGAGGCGGAATGCTGATGTAGTGCTGTTTGCTGTGTACTGGGTATGTTTTCTTCCCTTGAGCACGGAAGGTCAGATTCCTAGGAAAAGTCTAGGAGTTAAAGAATTTCTGGAATGCCACAGTTGAAAGGACTTCTAGAGAGAGAGTATTCCATTAGTGCTCTCAGGGGAACAGCTTAAACGTAAAATTCTGAATCATCTTGGTAAAAGTCGCCACCTCCAGAGGCAAACTAAAATACAGCCGTGGTTCTGGATTTCTCCTCAACACCAAACCCAGGTCTCTGATTCTTACTTGATTGAACACGTTGTGTCCAGTGTTTTCTGTAGCTATGGAGACCCACTGCACACATTGTCTCCTTCCCACGTGGTGCCTTCTGAAGGCGAGGCTTGGGAGTTATTTCCACCTAGCTCCCTGCAGACCACCAGCCGTGTGTGCTTGCCCCCTGATGGGTGGACAAAGGGGATTTTACAGTGTGGTAGATACAGAAGGAGGATCCCCCTCCCGACTACCCCACAAGCCTGACTCCACTCCTGGCTTTCTAAAGCAGACTGACATATTCGTGTTCAGCCAGCTCTCTGGTTTGGGTGAGTTTCTGATGTTCACGATTCATTTTAAATCCTCTGTGACTTCTGACTGCCCATGGCATAGTTCTTAGCTCCTTATCTTGGTCATCTAGTGTTGCTGTAACAGAATTCCCACAAGTGGATGACTTTAACAAAGAGAAATTTATTCACTCACAGTCTAGTAGGCTGAAAGTCTAAATTCAGGGTGCCAGCTCCAGGGGAAGGCTTTCTCTCTCTGTCCACTCTGGAGGAAGGTCCTTCTCATCAGTCTGCCCCTGGTCGAGGAGCTTCTCAGGCGCAGGGACCCCAGGTCCAAAGGACGTGCTCTGCTCCTGCTTCCTTGGTGGTATGAGGTCCCCTGCTCTCTGTTTGCTTCCCTTTCTTTTTATCTCTTGTAAGATAAAAAGTTTCCCCGGGGAAACTCCCTCTACATTGGCTCAGAGATGTGACCTGGGTAAGGGTGTTACAATCCCACCCTAATCCTCTTTAAAGTAAAATTACAATCACAAAATGGAGGACAGCCACACAATACTGGGAATCATGGCCCAGCCAAATTGACACACACATTTTTGGGGGGACCTCATTCAATCCATGATACTCCTTCAACCCACTTTTAGAAGGGGGATGCTCACTGACAAAGGGGAGTTTTCAACTCAGTTCTCCTCTATCGAGTCGGCCCTGAACTGGCAAGAAGCCAAAGGCTGCTATCTGAGAAGCGGGAGAAAGGATGAAGCCGGGGGGAGGCACAGTCTTTCTCTTTCTTTGCTGCTGCCAAATTGCCTTCCAGAGAGGCTGTTGTCAGCAGCCTGTGCTCTGACGGCGTGTGGAGTGCCTGCTTCCCCACAGCTGTGTCCACACAAGACGTTCCCAATCTCTGTGCGGTTTGTGCTTATCTGATGGGGTATTATGGCGTCTGCTTCTGAGATACGGAGTATCTTTTTTGCGTTTCTTGTGTTTTCTCTGTGAATGCCTACTTAGTATTCTTCTGTCCTTGTTTGTCTGTTTCTTTTTTGTCACATTTATTAAGCTCTGTTTGTGTTCTGAGCTGTGCAGTAGATAAGCACTTTCATGATTTTATGCATTGCATCCTTATGGCAACTGTGTGACTAGGAGCTGTTAGGTTTCCATTTTGCATTTGGGGCAGCTGAGGCCCGGAGAGCTGAAGTCGCTTGCCCAGAGTCACACACTTGCAGGTTGTAAGGGGCAGAGACAGTTAGAACCCAGCTGGTCTGGCTCCAGGACCCTTGCTCTTTTTTACTACTTTTTTCTGTGGATTTGTAGAAACTCAGAATTACGCATCTTAACCTGTTCCCTCCTGTATTTGCACAGAATTTCTGCCATTTTTCAAACTTTGTCGATGTGTCTTTCAGCACATAACTGTTCCCTAACATTGTTTAATGTAGTCATTTTTCCTTGTTGGTTTTATGTCATCCTTAAGAAAGCCCACCTGAAGATTCTAAGAATATTCTGTATTTTCCTCTAATGTCTCCATCATTTTGTTGTTCAGTTTGGTCTTCATACTTAGTATTTGATCCCTTCCCCTGGCCCCAAGCCCTGCTCCTCCCCTCAGCCCTCTGAACGCAGGAAGAGCTAATCCTTCCCAGCCCATAGCGCGCAGTTTTGAGGCTTTCACTGCCGGCCTGCCTTCTGCCTTTGCCCGTAACCTGTAGGCAGGAGCCCGGCCCCTCGCTGACCACTTGTTCCTGCCAGAAGGCAGAGTGTCACCACAGGCTCCGCTAACCTCCCTGGTTGCGCTCCGTTCCTCTGAAACCGTAGGCAACTTCATCTCTCTTTAAATGTTTCAACTATAAAACAAGGATAATAATCACAGCTGCTTTGTAGAGTTATTGTTGAGGATTAAACAATTTAATAATATCTATAAAAGCACTTAAGCAATCAGTGTTACCTGTCATCCCACCCGTCCATTCAGGGACTACGGTAATCATTAATGTCGAGCTCAGAACTCCTTGGGGTTCTTCTTCTTCTATGGGTGTTTTAGGCATAGCTCTTTTTTCTGGAGCCCTGGTGGCACAGCGGGTAAGAACTTGGCCGCTAACCAAAAGGTCGCCAGTTCGAATCCACCGGCCCCTCCTTGGAAACCCTGTGGGGTAGTTGTACTCTGTCGTGTAGGGTCACCGAGTCGGAATCGACTGGACGGCACCCGTCTTGGTTTTTGGGGTTTTCTTCTCATCGTCTCTCCTCAGGGAATCCCTCACATTGTTGTGTTATGATGGACAACAGCACTGATGTTGCCCCCACCCCCCGCCCCCCGTTAAAGACATTCTTCATCTGTTTTTGGCATTTTTTTGCTGATTTGTCAGTGAGGGGATGTTGTCCTATATATTGTATCTGACATCATAATTCCATCTCCTCACTTAATTAACAAAATCCCTAATAGCACTTTTTTCTCCCTCCACCCACATCCAGTAAGGGCTTACAGAAGCAAATTGCTGATCGAAAATCCTGTCATTGACAGCTGATAAAATTTACATAATACCTTTCTCCTGTGGGTCCCACATTTCCCACAAAGTACACTCACATGCAAGGCCTCTTTGCACCACCAGCAACATGGAGGGCTGGGTTGGGACAGGCACGCTCACCCTACAGACGAGGCAGTAGAGGCTTGGAGAAGCCATCTGCCTGGAACCTGCAGTTAGAAAACAGAGATGCAGGTCAGGCACAGCCTCAGGTCCCACGTCCAGGGGTTTATTTCCTGTACCCGGTACTTCTTTCCTTGCAGGGTCCCTTGTTACTCCCAGTCTCACCTCCCCCACCCCCCCACTGTAGTCTTCCGACTGACGGATGTGTGTCTGCCAGGCTCTGCTGCTCCCTTGTCCCTCCTGCCCTCTGTAGCTTCTGGTTGTCCCTGTCGTGCTGTTTCTCCCAGCCCCGCCCTCCCCGTGGACCGCTCCATCACACAGGGACATCCAGTGCCCACCTTCTACTTTTCCTCCCAGCCTAAACCCCCCTCCAGCTAGTAAGCCCAGACTAACCACGTGACTAGCCAGTGTCTTAAAAAGGGACCAGCACCACGAACCCCTGTCCTTTCTTAATTTTGACACTCAGACCTGAGCCCCACCTTTCAGAATTGAACAGCCTGTGTGCTGGACCCTGGAGCTGCATCCAGGACCTTAGTCCGTCTCCTCCCTTCCTGCTTGCGCCCTCCCTATGCCACCATTTTCCCACATCACAAACACAGGATATGCTGAGCAGCCTCTTTGTCAGCGAGAGTTGCCTTCTGGGGCCCCTAAAGAGAGGCAGCCTAAGTTACAGAATCCAGAACATTGTTCCCCTTGGCCATCGGTGGCCGCGGGTGGGCCTCAGATATGTGGGGGCACTGACAGGGAGACATCCTGGTGGATGTGCAGTGGCCTTGGCAGTCCGGGACCGCTGAGCGGCTTTGACATTGGACAGCATGTCACCATGGTTTGCGTGTGTGTATAATGCAACAGATAACATTGGGATGTGTCCTGTAGCAAATGGAGCTGTGCACGCAAAGAGGTTAGCCCAGTTCCTGCGGAGTCGGTGTGTTCAGCAAATGGTAGCTGGCACTTCTCTGCAACTCTCTTTATAAAACAAGGCCTCCTTCTCCCCAAGGTCTTTAGTGGGTCCTGGTAAAATTTTTCCCATGCCTGGTTAACTGAAATGGTGATAAGTGACATGTAAATCGCCAAGGATTTCCACAGATAGAGACTCAGAGCTTAAAGGGGCCTCAGCGACTAGAACAAAGGATTGGGTATGGGGGTCTAGGGAAGGGGGCAGAGAAGAGGGGGAGAGAGAAGAAAGAGGTGCCCAGGGTGACCACTGTGTGGCCCTTGCTGAGGGTTTTCTTCTCAGTGTAGACCAGGGTCCCTGCAGGGCTGGCCGTGTACTTCATTTCCCTGGAGAGCGTTCTGAAGATGTGGGTTTCTGGACCCAAAGCCCAGCCTGCTGGGTGGGATCCTTGGGTGGGGTGGTGGCCTGGGGCGGCACCGCTGATGTCAATGCTGGTTTTTCCGTAGCGGGTGGAGGCGCGCTGGCCCCCGAGAACGGCCTCAACGAGGAGGTGTCCATCGAGATCGTCCTGTCCAGCTCGGGGGACGAGGACTCCCAGCACAGCCCCCACTGCCCTGACGAGCCGCGGGGTGCCACGGAGAAGCCGCGTGTCCTCCCCACCACGCACAGGAGCAGCTCCGTGGGCTTCACGGACGTGGGCGGCGAGGTGCAGGCCTCCTCCAAGAAGTCCTACGTCTGCCCCAACTGCGGGAAGATCTTCCGCTGGAGGGTGAACTTCATCAGGCACCTGCGGAGTCGCAAGGAGCAGGAGCAGCCCCACGCGTGCTCCGTCTGCGGGCAGGTGTTCGGCGACAGCGAGGACCTGGACGGGCACCTGGAGACCCACGAGACCCAGAAGCCTTACACGTGCAGTGCCTGCGGGAAGAGCTTCCGCCTCAACTCGCACCTGCTGTCCCACATGCGCATACACCTGCAGCCGGGCGGACTGGGGCCCGCGGAGGCCAAGGCGCTGGGGCCGCCGGGGGCGCAGGGCGGCAGCCCCAGCGCCCTGCTGGAGAAGGGCAAGGGCAAGCCGGGCTTCAAGTGCTGCGACTGCGGGAGGGCGTTCCAGCGCCATGACCTGCTGGCCCGGCACCGGAGCGCCGCGCACGCCAAGGCGAAGGCCGGCGCCTTTCAGTGCCGCTACTGCGTCAAGAGCTTCCCGCAGAATTACGACCTCATCCGCCACGAGCGGTCGCACATGAAGCGGCGCTCCAAGCAGGCGCTGAACTCCTACTGACCCCTCCCTCCGGTTCTGCCCTCGGGGCCGCGCATCTCCCCCCCCAGAGGTACTGACTAGCCCCCGCCCCCCACACGACTCCCCAGGGGTGGAGACCACCCACCCCCGCGCCCTGTGTTCTCAGGTAGCGTCCACCTTTTGCCTGATGCCGTCCTCCGAGTAACGAGAGAGTAGCCAGTTGAGTATTTGTCCTGCCCCTTGTGGCAAAAGGCAGGGAGGGCATGTCACCACCAGCTTCGCCGACTCGCGACTGGATCAGCCCGGTGTTAACTGTGTCTTACAGACCCCTCCGAGTGCTCGGAGCTAGTGGGGCAGACTGGGCAGGCCCCCGTCATAGCGACCCCCTGGGCGTCTGTCCTTTGCCAACCACCTCTTGACACACTACCTCCTATCCTCCTCTGTCTGAGTCCCTCAGATCGTGAGGTTCTGAGGGTGGCTACACTTTCTGTTTGACGGTGAGAAGTTGCCCACTGGGCAGTGCGTTTGAAGGAAGGCAGTCATCAATGCAGGGCGAGAGAGAGCAGGGCGAGCCAAGCTATGCCGTGTCGTGCGCAGTCTGAGCCCCAGGTCGCAATCGATCCCTTTGTGCCCCTGGGAAGGGTAACTGCCTCATCCCACACGAGCACCCCACGGACTTCCCAGCTGTCAGGTGGTACTTGTGGCAGGCAGGCCTTGGTTGTGGGCACCAGAGCCCCTTGCAGAGCGGAGACCGTGTCAGACCTTGTGATTTGTCCTGATGACCTGTTCATAGGGGTCATGAGCTCCGCAAGGACAAAGCTCACATTTTAAAGTTTATGTAGTGCACCCCCACACCAAAATGCTTTTCCTCTGCACTTGGAAGGTCCTTGGCAGGTGCTTCCAGAGTGGAAATTGAGCCGTCATCCTTTAAAAGGCACTTACGTTCCTCCTCTTCACCTCCTCTCGCTTTGTCCTCAGAATGGGGAGCTCAGCAACCACTGAAGGGGTATTTGGTCAGGGTGAGCTGATGAGATCACCCCAAAGAGGGAAGGAGAACCTTCTGTGGGAGTCACGTTTCACATAGGTACTAACTTAACAGACAGATCAGTCTGAGATGCCACTGTTGTCCCTGATCCACGGCGAAGCAATAAAAGCCTAACTTTGCTTGTCCGTGACCAAATTGGAACCCAGGATTTTAGCCCTTGTGTCTGCTCACAGGGCCCGTGTCTTCTGCACAGAAGAAATCTTTTTGTTGTTGAGAGTATACACAGCAGAACATACACCAACTGTTTCCGCGTGTAATTCAGTGACGTGGATTCCATCCTTCAAGTTGGGCAGCCATTCTCACCCCCTTTTTCTGACTGACTGCCTCCCCGTTAACGTAAACTCACTGCCCCCAAGGTTCCTGTCTGTTCTTTCGAGTTACTGTTGTCACTTTGATCCCGTATAGATCTTAAAAGAGCACAGTGCTCAAGCTCTCCTCGGAAGAATCTTCAACATTAGCCTTTGAAGTTCAGAGCTTACGGTTCTGGACTGGGAATGACCATTTATAGTGAAACCTTAAGCGGTCCTGCCACCTCATCGAGTTAGGTTACAAGGAGGCAGATACGTGGTCTTATTGTTTCTGGGGAGGAGTTAGTGTGTGGTGCAAACTGTTAGGCACTCGACTGCTAGCCGAAAGGTTGGCGGTTCGAACCTACCCAGAGGCATCTTGGAAGACAGGCCTGGTGATCTGCGTCCAGAAGGTCCCAGCCTTGAGAACCCTGTGGAGCAGTTCTCTGCACACATGGGGTCGCCTTGAATCAGAATCAATGGCATCGAACAACAGCAGTTGTCCTGTGAGAGAGATTATGCGGAGCTAGGCTCGGGTGAGAAAGCGACTGGGCTGAAGTGTGTGTAGCTGTAGCTGGATTCGAAAGCCAGTAACTAAGCAAGTATTTTTGTATTATTTGTGTATCAGATCGCACTCGTAAACAGTAAGGATAGGAAATGGAGCCTGAGGTGCTCCTTTGCTCCTTTTCATCCACGGAATTTGTACGATTTCAGTTTTCAAGAAGCCCCTGCCCTAATCCTAACGGAGGAGTTTTATAACTATAGTTGCTGTTCTTGTGTATATGTGCCTACACACACAGAAACAGTAAACGCAATAAAACTATTTGGTCCTTCCTTCAACAAGAAATAAACTGTTGGGGTGCTGAGTTTCTAAATCGTTTGCCTCGTATATTGCTCTGCCTGAAGAAGGGAGGAAAGAATTTTAAATGGAAGCAAGACTCTGTGTGCACTGACCCCACCTCTGTGCTCCTGTCTGGGCTCCTCTTAGTAGCTCCAGGCCTTGGGGGAGGTATTTACCATCTCACCTCAGACACTTTACATCTAAACGCAAACCAGAAAGCAAGCCCATTGCTGTCAAGTCCATTCCGACTCATAGTGACCCCATAGGACAGAGTAGAACTGCCCCATAGGGTTTCTAAGGAGCAGCTGGTGGATTTGAACTGCCGACCTTTTGATTAGCAGCCGTAGCTCTTAACCACTGTGCCACCAGGGCTCCTTTACATCTAAAGTAAGATTATAAACAAGGGACAAAAGGAATGTAACGGAACTGAAACCAAAGAGGTTTTGAGTCTCGAGTGCCCACCAGATGTTCTGAGGGAGGTGTTCTGTTGTTCACTGATCCAAAGTTCACTTATCCAGAGGCAGCCAAAGTCCTCAACTGAGCTGAAGGTCATGTTCCTTTGGATTTGGAAACCTTCCTGGAGGTGCAGCTCAGATCCCTATTACTCACATGCAGAATAAACAGGTTAGGTTATCTACTCCGGGAGAAGCTCCACCAGTGCTCCAAAACCCCCCCTCCCAAATCTAGCCTCAGTCCAGGGGGCAGCTGAATGACTTCTCTACCTTGCCATGGAGGTTCAGAGGTCCCACGTCTGAGAAAAATCCCTCCCTCCCTTTTCCTCCAGTCCCTTGGCCTTTTTCGCACAAACCCACGGGTGCATAATAAAACTTACTGAGTTAATAGATTTTTCATTTTAATTTAAGAAGTAGTATATGAAGCACAGCGGCGAGGTGACAGATTGGCTTGGCAAGGAGAACTTGAGGCACAGGTTGCCAGAAAGTGCTCCTCTGGATTTCACATGTTGTCTTGTGAGATTGTTAGGACAGGTGCAGTTCTGGTCTCGTGATCTGACCCCTCGCCAGAACAGAGGACCTAACTTCTCTTATTCCTGGGGTGGTGACCACACTGTTGTTTAAATGATCCCTGGCCATTTTTATGTATCTTCCTCCTCCCTCAACTCTCGTTCCCACTGAAAAAAAAGACGAGGCAGAGGTGGAAAGGTCCCTCATCAGCCACACAGTGGAGTGAATGGAAGAGAACTGAACCAGAGGCGAGAATACTGAAGTTCAAGTTTGCAGAGACCTGATACAAGTCTCTCTTCACCCATGAGATAGTTTCCCTCCTGTACCAGAAGCAGAGCTTGGACTAAGCTGCTTACACCATTATAGAGGAGGTTGAGGTATTTATGTCACCTTACCAATATAATCAACCAAACATAGGTACATTTTCTGTTATTTAAAAAGTCAATGTTATTTAGACTCAATGTCCACTAGTTCTCCATGCCAAACAACGTTATAGATTAGGAGACATGTTTAGGAAGGTAGACTGGCCAGGAATGGAGTGATGGAAGGAAGACTGGGTGACTGGGTTCCTCCTGCCGCCTTGCCCCACAGTTGGGGCACCCCATTCATGTCTGCCCAGCAGAGTCCCAATATTCCATGATCCGTGGGCCCTGGGGACAAGTCTACCTATGTATGACAACCCAGTACTGACTGAGAACGTTATCCTCTCAAAGCCATAGCCCACAACCAGAACACCATGTCATGATACATAAAATCATTAAGACAATTGAAGTTGTAGAAAATCTCTGAAGAAGATGTAGAACTCTGAGAAAGGATGACAAGGCAGATTGTTCAGGAATACAAATGGCAGAGCCAGAGCCCCAGCCCACACATCTTGGCTGTAGTCAAGAATACCACAGTCATACTTGTAACCGCGCGAGGACAAGGGCTCTCTCCTAAGTGTAATGGCAGGGGACCACTCTTTTTTCATTGTATTTGGTATAGTTGCATCTATACTGGCCTAATTAAGTCATGCTACTCCTTGTCAAAATATGGAGGGGCTAGATACCTGCCCTGAAAACTTTCCTAGGAACTTTTCCCAAATAAAGTCACATTTCCCAGGTCCTGAGGGACATGCCTTTTTGGGGAACCACCATTCAACACACTACAGCGATTGAGCACCATCCAAGTCTTTCAAGTGAGGATTTAAATTTCAAAACCAGCTAGATAATAGTTTAAGCTGCCCTTGATGTGCCTGGTGTCTCAAAGCAAAGTGAAGCTCTCTGAGATATGGTTCTCCTCAGCCAAGAAATCAAAGTGTGAAAGCTGAATGAGACATGAGTAGTTATCTGACCCAAAGCCCTCATTCGACAAGTGGGGGAAGTCTTGTTAAATGATCTGATAATTAGGGGCAAAGAATGGAGTTCACCCAAGGATTTCTACCCATGAGCCAGAATCCCAGATCCCATGTACACAGAGCAGTGAGGGGCTAGAGTGGGGGAATAGATAGGGTAATACCTCAGATTGTCACTTTAATTGATGAAGGAGTAAGCAGAAATTTCGGTCTATAACAGAAGGCAAAGGCTAGGTTTCTGGTGTATTTGTTTGTAGTTGAATGGTAGCCCCCAGAAGATATGTCCACCCACAACCTTATTTGGAAAAAAAGTCTTTGCACATATAATTAAGTTAAGGATCTTGAGATCATCTGGATTTAGGATGGACTGTAAATCCAATAACAAGTGTCCTTATAAGGGAAAGGCAGAGGGAGATTTGAGACCCAGAGACCCAGGGGAGAAGACAGTGTGAAGATGGAGGCAGAGATTGAAATGATACATCTACAAGAAAAGAAATGCCAAGGATTGCTGGAAGCCACCAGAAGTTAAGAAGAGGCAAGGAAGGATTCTCCCCTAGAACATTCAGAGGAAGCA